TCCCTTTGTGCTCTCCCACCTTCCCTAGCAGCTCATTGCTGTTACTTCATAGTTTGTGCTCTGCTGATGATGGAGATGGAGTAAAAGAGTAGGTTCTGTTTTCCTCATCCAGCCTCTGATTGAGGCTGTCCTGTGTTCTCAGAGATGGGAGGTGAGACTTTCTCCCTTCCACAGCAGCCAAACTCAGGGAGGAATCTATGGTTGGCCATGGTGGGAGGCAATTCATGCTCTTTTCCCCAGAGGCAGCAGAGCACTGCTTGATATTAGGATAAGATCTTGGGGCCAGATGAGTTATCTGCTCCTTTTCTAAAATTAGAGGATTTGTCTTCTATTCTTATCCTGGCTATAAAGGAAGGGTTTTTGCCTGGGCTATAATGGTTGATATTGTTTGCTGCATCTCTTTTCAGTGATTTAAGTCTTTGCTTCCAATGAGTGAAGGAGTCAGGGAAGTTTGTGGGTATATTACTCAGGGGTCTCTAGAGGGACAGAACTAATAGGATAGATGAATGTATGAAGGGGAGTTTATTAGGAGAATTGACTCACACGATCACAAGGTGAAGGCCCACAATAGGCTGTCTGCAAGCTGAGGAGCAAGAAAGCCAGTCTGAGTCCCAAAACCTCAAAAGTAGGGAAGCCGACAGAGCAATCTTCAGTCTGTGGCTGAAGGCCCAAGAGCCCCTGGCAAACCACTGATGTAAGTCCTAGAGTCCAAAAGCTGAAGAACTTGGAGTCTGATGCTCGAGGGCAGGAAGCACCCAGCATGGGAGAAAGATGAAGGCTGGAAGACTCAGTGTAGTCTTTCCCGTTCTTCTGCCTGCTTTTTATTCTGGCTGTGCTGGCAGCTGATGAGATGATGCCCACCCAGACTGGGGCTGGGTCTGCCTCTCCCAGTCCACTGACTCAAATGTTAACCTTCTTTCACAACACTCTCACAGACACACCCAGGAATAATGCTTTGCATTCTCAATCCAATCAAGTTGACACTCAATATTAACCATCACAGTGGGACTTTGTGGTTTTTCAGAAATTTTCTCAGAAATCACTACAAAGTGACTGCACTTTTTATTGACAGTGAAACTGCTGGTCATTTTCAGGCCTGCATCTTTTTTTTTTTTTTTTTAAGAGAGAGAGGGTCTCACTCTGTCACCCAGACTGGCGTGCAGTGGGCAGTGGCATAATCAGAGCTCACTGTAGCCTCGAACTCCTGGGTTCAAGCAATCTTCCCACCTCAGCCTCCCAAGTAGCTGGGAGTACAGGGTCTCTCTGTGTTGCTCTGGCTGGTTTTGAACTCCTGGCTCAAGCAATCCTCCCACTTCAGCCTTCCAAAGTGTTTGAGATTCCAGGTGTGAGCCACCACGCACCGCATGCCTACCTCATTGAGGTGGGCTCTCTCATATCTCCAGCCCTGCCTCCAAGATTTCTCATGAGACCATAATGAGGCCTGCCAAGAGATGGGTAGTAGGTGGAAAATTCCTTTGTGTCTGGGGTTCTAGGGATATTAAAATTTTTAAAAAGGTAAATTATAGACTCTCAGGAAGGTATAAAATAATCATGTGCTAAATATTTTATTTTACTTATTAGTTAATGAGGAATTGGTAAAATAGACAATCAGTTTGCATATTTTTGATCCAACAAAGAACATTAAAATGAATCTATAAAAGGTTGCGTAAATGACCAGATGCTAGTATTTGTTTCCTGTTGCATAGTGTAGCCAAGTTGACGCATCCCGAAAACCTCACACTGGCAAAATTCACATGGTGAAAACCAATGTCATCCCACTGGAAATCATTTACATCACTTTGGACACAAATTATTTGCTTTGCTATCGGGGTTCTAGAACTTAGAGAGTCGTAAAATAGCCTGGTCAAGGCCCATGGAGGAAGAAATAACCCAGATGGATGAGATAGTTAGGACATCTATTCCATTTCAAAGTCTTTCAAATTTCCCTAGAGGGACTTGCAGCTATTTCAGATAGACATGGTCACGCAGTGGACCTATAAAAATTGTTTAACATTTTAGCTGATATTGTTGTATTTGCTATTGTAAAGGTTGGCCTTCCCTCCCCAGTTGCATATAGCATTTCTCCTTGGAGGGCCTTTTCCTCTTCAGAGGGTTTAAGGCAAGTTACAAGTGTGTAGGCTCTCCATCTCTCTCTCTCTCTTTTTGGTGGGAGTGACATTCTCTGCACTTTTCTACAACCCAAGGAGATGTGGGAGGAAAGAGGCTGTTGCATATTTTGACACTCAGGCTGGTTCCACACAGCAGCTTTGTTGTGGAGGTGTTTTGGGGGAATAAAGGAGAGTGAGCTGTGATCACATAAGGACTGAAGTAGTGCAGAGAGAAGGGAGTAGTATGAAAAATCCCACAGGGACACAGCTGCAGGCAGTGGAACAGGCAGTAAGCAGGTACTGGAGGAACGCCCAGCAACCCCTCTGCCTTAATCAGAACTTTCCAACATGCATCTTCCTTTCTTTCATAGAACTTAGTATTATTACTAACCTCCTGAGACAGAATTTTTTTTGTAGTAATTGCCAATGGTTTGGGGCAGACATTAATTGCACAGGAATATTCTCACTGCACACTTTCAGGAATAGAAATAATAAAATGAGTTGTACTCTAAGGAATACAAAAAACAAATAGAAATAATCTAAATGAAGTGGAATGGTAATAATGCCTACATTTGCAAGATTTTTGACAGTTTTCCAGGGATTTTCACCAATAGGAATATCTGAGTTGGTGGAGAAAACGTAACAACATTAGTAAAGGTTCAACGTGCAGCACAGCCTGTCTTCTGTTGTGAAATAGTTGTCCTTTGATTTATTAAGTATAGCTAAATTTATATTGGGTTTATTTGTATAAACCATCTTCAATTCATTTTTTTTTTTTTTTTTTTTTTTTGGCGAGCAGGCAGGTTAGCAATACCAAAAGCAATGTTATTCTTCCGTTACAGTTACAGAGAAAATAGGACTCCTAATGCTTATTAAGCCGATTCAGGGCTGCACCTTTGTGAGCGGTAGATAAAGTTTTAGAACTCAAGGTAACCTTCTTTCTCATCCTCCGGCTCTTTGAGATTACAGAAACTTGCGCTTCTTATTAAAGAACACATTTTACAATGAATCTAGGCCACTTGTAGAAGAAAATGCCACCTGTGTATGTGTGTGTTACTTGTCTTTAATTCGAGATAAAGCATGCCACTGTCAAAAAGTGATTGCTATTTCTGGCAGAAACTTTTGTATTTCTTTTGAATTATTTGGATAATTGTCTCCAATTCTTTACTCAGAATTTTATGCACAAACAGGATGTAATCTCAAACTCCTAGGCTTGCCTCTTAAACTTGGGAAACTCAGTTGCATTCAGCATACCTTATTCCCACCTATATGTGCTCATTAAGTTGTTCATGAACTTTGTCTTCAATGACTGAAGCTGAAATACTTGTTTTTCAAGTGATTGTGGCTTCCATTTATGTCTTGGTTTTGTTTCATCATTAGCATAATCAGGCATGTGTAGATATGTAGGGTGTTTGGAAGAATGAAGATGAAATAATGGAAAGCCGGAGACACGTACTTACAGTACAAACTCCATTTCTATGAGCACAGACAAAGGTGTGCAAAGACATGGAGAGGAATCTCTACCCATGTAGATGCAGGTGGCCAACTACCACTCATCCCATACTTGTAACTCATGATAAGGCTCTATCATCTCTTCATCTCTGTGCTAGATTCAAATTAGACATTTTTTTCCTCTGGGAAAGGCATTAGCAAATTCACTTTTTCTGTTATCAGAAGTGTCCAGAAAATTTAGAAATATCTACTTTGTGTGTATCTCTCACATCAATGTCTATGTGTTCTGTGTCACAATGCATTCTTTATTATTATTTTTATTTTTTTGGAGACAGGATCTTATCCTGTCCCCAGGTTGGAGTGCAGTGCTGTGATCATAGCTCACTGCATGCAGCCTCCAACTCCTGGGCTCAATTGATCCTCCCACCTCAGCCTACATAGTAGCTAGGACTACAGACAGGCACCTGCCACAATGCCTGGCTGTTTTGTTTTTTTTTTTTTTTTTTTTGAGGCAGAGTCTCGCTCTGTCGCCCAGACTGGAGTGCAGTGGCGCTATCTTGGCTCACTGCAACCTCCACCTCCCAGGTTCAAGTGATTCTCCTGCATCAGCCTTCCGAGTAGCTAGGATTACAAGCACCTGTCACCACGCCCGGCTAGTTTTTTTATATTTTTAGTAGAGATCGGGTTTCACCATGTTGGCCAGGCTGGTCTTGAACTCCTGACCTCATGATCCGCCTGCCTCGGCCTCCCAAAGTGCTGGGATTACAGGCGTGAGCCAACGCGCCTGGCCTAATTTTTTATTTTTATAGAGATTGTTTTGTAGAGATTGGGGGTCTCACTACATTTCCCAAGCTGGTCTCCAACTCCTGGCCTCATGTGATTCTCCTACCTTGGCCTTCCAAAGCTCTGGGATTATAGGGGTGACACACTGTTGCAGTCCCCATAGTGAATTCTGATGGTGCAGGCAAGGGCAGGTCATGTTTGGAAGCCACCAAGCCTGAGTTCCAGCCATGACACAGCCGCTCGTGAGCCGTATGGCTCTGGATAAGTCATGTCACTTTTCTAAGCTCAGTTTCGTTTATCTATAACACAGTAATTATAATACTAGCCTCCTAAGGTTGTTCCTATAACTAAATGGGTGTCAGGTATGTGTTACGTTACTCAATTAAGGGTATCATTATAAATGTTTCCAGTAATCCGTGTATCTAATGAACATAGGTTTGTTAAAGCCATCCACTGATTTCGAGCGAAAAGAAGAAGGGAGAAGAGAATTAGATATGATTAGAGGCAAGGATTTGTTTTCATCCTCCACAGCTCAATGTCTTAAACAGTGACACCATGATTCATGCTGAGTAATAGCAATTAGCTAAATGTCTGTTATTAGGAGGGCCAATGGTTTTATGTATTGATTTTCCATCATGAGCAGGACTGCCATGCCATACTCCCTGCCCTGGCCACACCCCCTGTTGAAGGATCTTCTACAGAGAATTCTTGTTTTTATTCCCCGAGTGCTGCGTATTGGACCAAGGGGAGGGAAATCTGACCTAAGAGGAAGAAGGAGGCCAGACACATCAGGTGCAGTCTGGTATGAAGAGATGACACAGACTGAGGTAGGCTCCTTCTAGAAATATCAACTAGAAGACACACTGGGAAAGTGAGGTGTTAAAGAATGAGAACTGAGTTCACCCAAATGTGGAAACAGAATGAGGAAGGAAAAACAGAAACCTTAGAGGTCACACTATACAACACCCTAAGGAAGCCCAAACGTAACAGGTAGCAGCAGAAGCTATGTGGTAGAGAGAAAGGGAAGAGATGGGGAGAAAATAAAAGACTGTGAAGCCATGCAGAAAGGATAGAACACAAACAGCGGCTGGAAAGCAGAAATGCAAAGGAGGGGATCAGCACCTATGGGGTTGTGACAGGGCCAGCTTGGTGATCACGTCGAGGTTTCCTGCTGGCCCATGAACTCCTTGAAAATACATGATTTTATTTTTGAGATGATTTGCATAAATAGCTGTTAATATTTTAAAGATGATTTGCATAAAAATCTTTTGCATAAATTTATTAACAAACAAAACATCAATAAATTAAATAATAAAGTTTTGTTTTTCTGTATGAAATTAATGCAGGCTAACTATAGAAAACTTTACACTTCTTTGTTTGTTTGTTTTTTTGAGACAGAGTCTGGCTGTGTTGCCCAGGCTGGAGTACAGTGGCTCAGTCTTGGCTTACTGCAACCTCTGTCTCCTGGGCTCAAGTGATCCTTCCACCTCAGCCTCCCAAGTAGCTGGGACTACAGGTGCATACCACCACGGCTGGCTAATTGTTTTAAAAAATTTTTTTGCAGAGAGAAATCTCACTTTGTTACCCCGGCTGGTCTCAAACTCCTGAGCTCAAGCCTTCTGCCCGCCTTGGCCTCCCAGAGTGCTGTGATTACAAGGGTGAGCCACCATACCCGGCCAAAAGTTTACATTTCACATATTGAAGAGGGAAAAAAAATAAAAGCGTCATAGTAGGTTCCCTCAAAGACAGTTACTATTAACATGTGACTACATTTCAAACCAATTTTTTCAAGTATATTTTATGCATTGTTGTCATATTCTTATCAAATTGTATTTTACTGGTTAATACTTAATATGGTATATTGTATTTCCTAAATTTCTACATGCTTTTCACAATGTTTATTTTTGATATATATATAAAATAATCCATTGAGGTTGATGTAATGTGACATATCCAAACATGTACCCACAGTGGATATTTAAATTATTGACCCTTTCCCACTATCATTGACTTTGCTTTTCTTTCAGAGATGAAATGAACTATGCCTACAAATGACGCCCCACAAGCATTTTCCTTAACAACTCTACATAATTTTAAAATCACCTTATAGCATTTTTTTGGTGGAAAAACCCCTGAGGATAAGCTACTTTTTTCCTTCCATTTTTTAGGTCACTTATGTTTCCTGCTTGAATGCATGTATATGATTCTTTCCTTTTCCATGAAATTCTTGGCAAGCACTCTTAGTCACCAAACTCAATTATTTTCTCAGCTTAGGAAAGTTTTTTCTACGATGTGCTCAATATTTACTCCCCTTCTTCATTGGTCTTCATTTTCTTAGTCCCCAACTACTCTTTGTAGCTTATAGTGATGTTCTGCAGGGCACTGTAGCCTCCATAAATCTAATACTTTCTCTCATCATTTAGAAAAAGCTCCATTTTCTTCACCTTGGTATCCATTATCTCTAATCGCCTTGCATATTGCTGCGGTGATCTCTCTAGGTTTTACTTTTTCTTTATGAAGATTTCAAAACAGATCTTTTTTCTTGCGATAACATTTCTGAAATCCAAAAAACTTTCTGAACTTGAGCCTGTTATTTATTCACCTCAGCCCATTCCTTCCATGCCTATTTTTTTTCCACAGAAGCCATAGAATTCTATATTTAATAATACAGAGCCATCATTTTCAAAGGGTTTCTCTTTGTGTCACTCAAATGAATTCATGAAGAATGCTTCCCTGTGTGTCTGTAGGAATTGCAACCCTTGTCTAATGTTTTGGATTTGTGTCTATATCTTTGCTATTCTCCCACCCCAACCCACTCGTTCTGCCACTTATCTCTCCAGCTTCACCTCTTGTGGCTCTTTGCTTCTGACTCCCCTTTTTAGCAGTGATGAACCACTTGCAGTCCCAAAAGTACACCAGGATCCTTTCTTCTGCAGGATGTGACATGGGATATTGACTTCCTGGGTCATCCTTCCCTTTCTCCGCATCCCTCATGTCCATCCTCATCTATTCCTTTCCAATGTATACGTTATCTCTCAGAATACCGTCCATATTGTTCAAAGGGATGTTCCCAGACCACCACGTTAGGAGTTCCCCTAAATATTTCTGAGTACTCTTCACGTAACATAAATCCCCAGTCTATTTTAAGCTACACAAAGGTAGAAAAGATACATCTTGTTCACCAGCCTTCTTTCAGTGCCCAGAACATTATCTCAGTGCATTTTAAACAACAATGATTCAACATATCTCTTGCATCCATTAATTATTGAATAACAACCTCTTTGAGTGAGGTAAGATGTGGAATGAGGTAAGATCTGTAAAAGCCTGGTGTTTGCGGAAAATGTACAAAGTTACAGCCTAGTCATTGGAAGGTTTTGTTTCAAAATCCAATTAGTATTAGGAAATTATGTTATACCACTTCTAAGAATAGTTTTGAAACAAATCAACATTTCTGAACCAAGTTTCAGCATGCCAAAGGAAGAAGCACGACTACTTTCGGAGCCACTGAAGTGTATCAGAAGTTTTTCATGTACGCTCTATTGGAATCCTCGCAAGTACTTTGTAAACTGGATATGAGTAGACCCATGTTGAAAATAAGGAAACAGGACAGAGAAGTCACCCAGCTCTTGGGAAGTTGTACCTGGATTCTAGTTTCTCTGAGTCTGCCCATAATGTGCTTTCTAAGTTTGGAAACTCAGACTTTTCCCCTCCATGGAGAGATGGAGCTGCCCTCTTTTGAGAATCCCTAAGAACCTCCCTTGATTTTGAGAACTGAACTTCTTTCTCTTCACCCTCCAAGCTCTATGTCCCTCCAAATTGCTTCTGGTCTGAGGGCTTATACTCAATTTTGACAACACACCATGCAAATGGAAGGCAAAGTTCATGCAAGGTAGATGAAATTCCCCTCTCCCTTGCTTCCTTTATTACAGAGGAAAATATTCCTTCCAACAACTTGCTGTTCTGCATGCCACACTGCCCATGTTGCTTCCAACAACAGCACCATGTCTGAGAACTATGCTGTGCAAAGTGAGACATATTCTAATATTCTACTCTGCCATGAAACTTTTAGCTAAATTCCCATGGAGTAGATGACAAAATTCCCAGTACATGACTATTATGCCACAAACAACTAGAACAGTAACCCATAACACCCCACCCACAGTCAACTACAGGGAAGACAAAACTGCCAACAGCCATGGAGGTGAATCTCAGGATTCCTAATGACTCTTGGTAGAAATGCTGTCCATGTGGTATCAGCCTAGGCTTGATCTCTGTAGTCTCTGTCTTTCTCTCCCCTGTTTTTCATCTGACTTAGTTGGGGCTGATACAGTAGAATACTGGGTGGCTTAAACAGCTGAAATTCATTTCTCACACTGCTTGGAGGCTGGGAAGTCCAAGGTCAGGGCACCAGCAAATCCAGTGTCTGGGGAGGGCTGTCTTCCTGGCCTGCAGACAGCTGTCTTCTTGCTGTATCTTCACACGGTGGACAGAGATTCATCATCTCTCTCTTCTTTCTTCTTATAGGGCCACTAATCCCATGATGAGAACTCTGCACTCATGACTTGTTTACCTCCTAAAGATTCCATCTCCAAATACCGTTGCAGTAGGAATTAAGGCTTCACCATATAAGTTTGGGGGTGGGGGGCAGAGACACAGGCTTTCAGTTCATGACTTCGTCTTTCTCCATTTTATTCTTGATCTTTTGACCAGGCCTTCTTGGAACCGCCCAGTGGGTTCACCTTGCTTGTGGCCTAGACAGAGCCGATTTATCACGACAAGGCAATTGCAATAGAGAAAGAGTAATTCACACAGAGCCGGCTGTATGGTAGACTGGAGTTTTGTTATTACTGAAATCAGTCTCCCCGAGCATTTGGGGAGCAGAGTTTTAAGGACAACTTGGTGGGTGAGGGGAGGCGCGTGAGCCAGGAGAGCTAATAGATCAGGAATGAAATCATAGGGAACTGAAACTGTCTTCCTATGCTGAGTCATTTCTTGGGTGGGGGCCACAAGATCAAATGAGCCACTTGAACTATCTGGGTTGGACCAGCTGATCCATCAAATTCAGGGTCTGCAAAATATCTCAAGCACTGATCTCAGGAGCAGTTTAGGGAGGGTCAGAATCTTGTAGCCTCCAGCTGCGTGACTCCTAAACCATAATTTCTAATCTTGTGGCTAATGTTAGTCCTACAAAGGCAAACTAGTCCCCAGGCAAGAAAGAAGTCTGCTTTGGGAAAGGGCTGTTACTGTCTTTGGCTTAAACTATAAACTACAGACTAAATTTCTCCCAAAGTTAGTTCGGCCTACACCCAGGAATGAACAAGGACAGCTTGGAGGTTAGAAGCAAGATGGAGTCAGTTAAGTTTGATCTCTTTCACTGTCTCAGTCGTAATTTTGCAAAGATGGTTTCCCTCTTATGTCTTAAACAGTGTTGACTTACTGACTGGCAATATCTGTTATCTCAGAATCTCAAATTTACTTTAAAAAACACTGAAAATTTCACTACTCTAAGGTCTTTTCTAATCTCTAGAAAGATCTACAGATAAAATAAAATTGACCGGCTATATATGATCCCTTTGTTGTATAGAAAAGGAAATATTTATCGAGAGATACCAAAGGACCTATGTAAAACAAAGAAAGTTGGAGCACAATGCCCATTAATCTTTTCATCTTGTAGAGTATAGCTCCCAGCATGTTTTAGAGTATCCAGTAAATATTATTACTGTCATGATTTACGTTATTTTTATTTTGCATGTTTATATATTTGACACTGTCTAGATGATGCTGGTTTCAAGGAAACATTCATTGGAAACTGAGTTGGCAGGGAAAT